ATCTAGACATTTAAGCTAAAATGGACAATACCTCTTATCTGTTAATTCCCCCTTAAGGGAATACTACTAAAATGTCCCCCTGACATTTAAACAGGTATCTGAGAAACCTGAGGAGGGAAGCTCAAAACTAAATATTAAAAATGAAATATGGAAATCATATCCTGATCAGGATAATAATACCAGCTTACTGTGTTCCCCCAACTACAATGTTTTTATTTTATTTTATTTTTAAAAACTTAGACCTTTTCTTTTGGCAACAGTTTTTATTGCAGGTTTATCCAGAGCAGTTGATGGGAAAAGCCTTGTTGTATTCAATTAATTTCACTGCAATTATATTTAAAGCACTTGAAATAAAAGAATAAAGCCATTAGTATTATAAGAGGATGTTTGAGGCTGTGTGAAAATATGAAATGGCAGTTATAGATATTATCAAAGTAATAATAAACAATTCTCTTGTGGATCAAAGCTTTAAAATGCTGAAACTAGCCCTAGAGAATATAAGGATGGAATCTGAGTTAATGAATGCACTGGAAATAAAATGAAACATTTTTATGAACAGTCAATTAAAAACATCTATGTAGGTCACAAATATAATAAACAAAAGCGGCTATTTTTTTAATGTGGAAATTGAGGTTTTGCTAAACATTTGGAAGAAGTGGAAATGTTTACTATGCTTACCATGGTTACAGGCAACTTGAATCAGATAGGGCATGGGTGTCAAACTCGCTGTGTCATGTGACTTGTCATGACGTATCACGAATTTTTTCGCATTGCCAGAGCTGGGATGGGTGTGGCTTCCATATGATGCAACTGGCCCGCAGACCAGCAGTTTGACACCCCTGAGATAGGTTCTTCAAAGCAACCTTCCAAGGAATGTAGCTGCTTTAATCATTTAGAGCAGGGGTCCTCAAATTTGGCCACTTTAAGACTTGTGGACTTCAACTGGCTGGGGAATTCTGGGAGTTAAAGTCCACTAGTCTTAAAGTGGCCCAAGTTTGAGGACCCCTGGTTTAGAGGCCTGTGCTTCAATCATGCCAGCATGTTTGGTGAAGCATCTCTTTTGAACACTTTCTATAGCCATAGTAAAAATATGTAGTCAAGAATTGCTTCTCCAGACTTCACTACAGCTCA